GGCATAGGAGATCTTCTTTGTCAGATTAGATTGGAGACAGAAGGCTTCATTATTTGCACTATCTTTCACGTTTGCAGTCAGGTGGTGTTGGAAGGAGTAATTACCGGCCAGTGCTCTCCTCCTTTTCCTCCTCTTCCTTCTTCTTTTTTTTTTTTTTCTTTTTCTTCTTCTTCTTCTTCTTTTTTTTTCTTCTTTTTTTTTCTCTTCTTCTTCTTCTTTTTTTTTTCTCTTCTTTTTTTCTCTTCTTCTTCTTCTTTTCTTCTTCTTCTTCTTTTTTTCTCTTCTTCTTCTTTTTTTCTCTTCTTCTTCTTTTTTCTTCTTCTTTTCTTCTTCTTCTTCTTCTTCTTCTTCTTCTTCTTCTTCTTCTTCTTCTTCTTCTTCTTCTTTCAGTGGCGAAAGCTTGTTCCAGAACTTGAGCGTCTCGTGCACATCCGCTTTGCATATTATTTGTACGCACGCTATTCTTGTTTTGGCTGCCAAGCAATTGCACTCCGATTTCGAAGGAAACGGCAAATCAGTTGACTCTTGCGACAGGCCTGTTAGGAAAGTATTGACTAACTCATGTTATTGTCACTCTCTGTGATTGTACGTTTAAAATCTCTAGTCGATCATCTTCTTGGCTGCCTCTACGCATGGCCCGCAGCTGGGACCGAACCCGGCATCTCGGCATTACGAAGCGTTCGCATCGACTTAGCCACAGAGCCGACTGTGTGTGTGTATATGTGTGTGTATGTATATATATATATATATATATATATATATATATATATATATATATATATATATATGTGTGTGTGTGTGTGTGTTTGTGTGCGCGCCCGCATGTTTGTGGGTAGTGTGGGAACAACATCACAATCCCAGTTTAAGACATAGAAATTAGTATTTGATTACTTGCTTACACATTCCTGTACCATGCGTTTTATTGACTTTTATGAAACGTCTTGACCAATATTATATTCATGTATATCCCCATATATGTTCCGGAAATAACCAACTGTCTCGTCCCTTTCCCTTCCCCCACCCCACACCTACCGACAAGCATGTCGTAAGATGCGAGTAATTATAAGGTTTGCTAAAATCGGATGTGCCGGATCGAAAGGCACATATATCACAGCCTTTGGTGGTTAACCGTGTGGGTTCCATGGTCCTGTTGTGGGGAAGACAAGAATAGACCCACTGCCTCCCCAACAAGTGTGTCGTAGCAGTCGACTAACTGGGAGCTTTCTTCAAAGTCGGAGTGCATCTGCCTGAGAGGCAAGGAACTAGAAGCCTGCATACAGTTAAGCACGATCTGTAAAACGGATGCACACGCAAAACTCAGGTTCTGGAACAAAGCCGCAGTCTAGAAATGGACAAACAGCCAGGTCTTTCCGCCGGGTTTACTGCCGGTGAACGCAAACAACAGACAGCATCATTATGATTTCTCTTTATGCCTAGTAGCACTTGAGGCACCTGAGGATTTTCCATGCTTTTCTGTCCTGTGCTGTCTTCAGTGTAGTTTTCCATATCAGAGATGCAGCACTCAGTTCACTTTCAATCGTTTGTCTCCAACCTGCCAACCGTCCTTTCTAAGGGCGAACGCAGAAGACAAAGAAGATATGCGAATGTTGTTAACACGTGTCACCCTCTTCATGCATATTTTAATAATCACTGACTATGCATACGTTTAGCTGACTTCGGCGATTCGCAATTATGCTGATTCGCACTAGTTGTGGCCGTGCATACTCAGTGTGTGTAATTTCTTGTAGGCTTATCTCGTCATGTACTATTCCAATGGGTTACTGTAGCCATTTATCTCGTCATGTACTATTCCATTGGGTTACAGTAGCCATTTATCTAGTCATGTACTATTCCAATATGTTACTGTAGGATATTCGATCGGTACATTAGCATTGGCTGAGTCTATTTATGGCCTTCTCTTCACAGTTCTGTTCCCTATTGTCACTTAGATGTACGCGTTTATAAATTTTTCGCGTGTAACTCTTCCCGACTGTGAAATTAGTTAAATGTTTATTTTAATGTGACATGCCGTTAAAAATCCAGCTATTCTAGTATTATCTTATTCTAAGGTTAGTTCATAGCGCTAATGCACTGATCATACCCAGCTCCCTCTTCCTTTAAAAAAAAAATAATCTGCAACTTGATAGCTTGGAATCTGAATATAAGATGCTCGTGTGCAACGAACACCTAACTTGGCACATTTGAAGTGTGAACCGTTATACAGTTGAGTGCCGCCAAATTCCAAATTCGTGCTGTTAGCCTGCTCTCCTTAGACCAGAAGAGCGGTTTCATTTTCCCACGGGTTGAATTCTCTTCACACATTTCGCACTTTTATGTCGTTTCATTAATTAGCACGGGGAGATACTCTTATAACGGGGAAATCCCAGTCAAGTGTGATAGCTGCGACGATGCACAGATACATTCTTTTCCTGCGCGTTTTTCATTTCCTGCTCCGGCCGGCCGTCCTTTTCAGCGATTTCCTTTCTTTTTCCCGCTCATAGCTCAGGTTTAATCATCCTATGCTTTCTACTTACCCCTTATATGTTAAGTTTTGTTCAGACTTTACAATCATCTGTTTTCCACAAATGTTCAGTTTTCTTCAGACCTTACAATCATCTGTTTTCCACATATGTCCAGTTTTGTTCAGACTTTACAAACATCTGTTTTCCGCATATGTTCAGTTTTCTTCAGACTTTACAATCATCTGTTTTCCGCATTATGTTCAGTTTTGTTCAGACTTTACAATCATGTTTTCCGCGTATGTTCAGTTTTCTTCAGACCTTACAATCATCTGTTTTCCGCATATGTTCAGTTTTCTTCAGACTTTACAATCATCTGTTTTCCGCTTATGTTCAGTTTTGTTCAGACTTTACAAACATCTGTTTTCCGCATATGTTCAGTTTTCTTCAGACTTTACAATCATCTGTTTTCCGCATATGTTCAGTTTTCTTCAGACTTTACAATCATCTGTTTTCCACAAATGTTCAGTTTTCTTCAGACTTTACAATCATCTGTTTTCCGCATATGTTCAGTTTTGTTCAGACCTTACAATCATCTGTTTTCCGCATATGTTCAGTTTTGTTCAGACTTTACAAACATCTGTTTTCCGCATATGTTCAGTTTTGTTCAGACTTTACAATCATCTGTTTTCCACAATAGTTCAGTTTTGTTCAGACTTTACAATCATCTGTTTTCCACAAATGTTCAGTTTTGTTCAGACTTTACAATCATCTGTTTTCCGCATATGTTCAGTTTTGTTCAGACTTTACAAACATCTGTTTTCTGCATATGTTCAGTTTTGTTCAGACTTTACAATCATCTGTTTTCCACAAATGTTCAGTTTTGTTCAGACTTTACAATCATCTGTTTTCCGCATATGTTCAGTTTTGTTCAGACTTTACAAACATCTGTTTTCTGCATATGTTCAGTTTTGTTCAGACTTTACAATCATCTGTTCCGCATGTGTCCAGTTTTGTTCAGACTTTACTTCATCTGTTTAGTTTCAATCTGTTCATCTGTTCAGTGTTGTTTTAACTTTACTGTCATCTTTTACCCTCCATGTTCAGTTTTGTTTGAAACTTTACTGCCATGTTTTCCTGTGAAACCTTTACTGTCATATTTCCCTGTTATGTTCGGTTTTCTACATCTTCTGGCACTCTGTCTTTTTGCTCTTCTCTGGTAATTGCTCTGTTCTCTTCACCTTTTGCTTTTTTTCTAATCACCTCCCCTCCCCCTCATAAATAAAGGTAAAGCACTATATACCATATACGCCAGAAAACGTGGGCAAGGATTATTTTACTTATGTTCCTCATGTTCTATCTTCTCCTTTCTTGACATATATGGTTACTTATGTTAATTCTAGACAATCTTCTCATTTCCTTACGCAAATAAAGGAACGACCTTAGTACTGTATTGATTTTAAGCATTCTACCACTTCTAGGAATCGACTCCACACCAGTAGTATTTCGGCAGGCAAACACACTAGCCACTATACTGTCGTGGCCCATGTGCATGTGTTGCGTTAATATAAATAGAAGATCGCTTGATAAGTACACACCGGTGTAGAAGAGGATACACAGTGGAATACACACACACACACTTACTAACTTACTTGGTCGCTCCTCTTCTACCTTGGAGTGTAGAGGTTTGCAAGTGAGATCGCCAGACGTCTCTATCAGCAGTTTTCTTTCTGGCTTTGTTCCATTCCGGTCATCTGTCAGTCAGGGATGTGCATGCCTGTAATCACAAGGAGTAATTAACAGACGTATCTTTCTTCGAAGTCGGAGTACATCTGCCTTAGAGGCAAGGAACAGCATACTGCACACAAATCAGCCAGTAAAACGGATGTACACGCATAACGTGAGTTTAGCTCGGATCAAAGCCAGCGTCCAAGTGGACCATCCAGGACTTTCCGTCCGAGTTCACAGCAGTGGACGATCCAGGACTTTCCTTCCGAGTTCACAGCAGTGGACTATCCAGGACTTTCCGTCCGAGTTGACAGCAGTGGACGTAAACAAACATACAACAGTATATTTCAGGGAGAAAGGAGAATCAGAAAGCAGGAGAGGGAGAAAGGAAATGTCGGCATTTGTTAATTATGATTAGCAATATATTTAGACAGCCGCACGCTGGCTAGAAAGACTAGGTAGGGTTCAAATCCGCATCGAGGTGGATTTCCCCACCGCCACCCCCTTGCCACCCTTCAGAATTGACCTCGGATCTTAGGTTGACTAGGAAGTGTTGCATTTTGTAGCTGAGTGATGTGTGTGTGTGTGTGTGTGTGTGTGTGTGTGTGTGTGTGTGTATATGTATGTAAATATTTGTGTGTGTGTGCGCGCGCGTGCATGCATGCATGCATGCGTATATGTGTTTTAAAATATAACAGAACCATTACATGTTCAGCGGGCCACCAGAGGGATTGTCCCATGTAATATGGTTTGTAACTAAAACAGTCTTCACATTAGTTCACATTTTGTGTTCACTTTCCCTCCTTCCTTCAGTGTGTCTGTGAGTCGCAGAACGTTTGGCGCCAGCAACGTTGATGTCCACGCTTGGTTCGCCAGTACCCCGCAGCTGACCAAATGTATCTGGTCCATGGCTGTAGTCCAACACCAGTTTTACCTGGACCGCAAACAGAGCAGGGTAGGTACTGGAGCCAGACTGTTGACTGTTTGTTTTTATCCTCTACCCGCCACTACTGATCTTTTGGTTTTTATTTCACTGCTGAATTGAATTGTTTCGATAGGACACGCGTAGGGAAAATCTGAGAACAGTATGTCTTTGAACTGGAACTTACACTGGCATAGAAATAGAGAAAGACCAAAACACGGAAAAGAGAAGCTAGAGAGAGACGTTAAAAAAGATGGGGAGGACACGGGAGAGAGCTTCAAAGGATACAATGACTTGGCGTGAGGTGGTTGAGAGCCTTTGCGCCATTGGTTGGGTGGGGGGGGGGGGGGGTGTTAAGAAGAGGTGGTGATGGTAGTGATTGTTGTGGTAATGATCTTCGTAATAATCGTCGTAGTAGCGGTAGCAACAGCAAGAGCAGCTGGGTGTCGCCGTTTTCAGATTCGTGTAGAAAATTGGATGCGTTTTCTTAAAGCAGGAGGTGGGAAAATACTCTGCTGCTTTGCAGGACAAACTTTGAGGATACTTGATAGCAGCGGATGAGAGGTTAGTGAATGGGTTTATCACTTTCATGATCGTCGAATCCTAGGATTCGATTCCTACGGCAGACTGGAATAAAAGTCTAGTATTTTGGTCCTTGGTGCAACAGTGACACCATGCAAGAGATTAGGACCTCCCCATCAGTGTTGCCACTTTTCTTTGACAAAAAAAAACCATCCAAAACGGGGTCCAAAATAGCTAAAAACATCTAAATTTGCGTGGACAAAATCTAGAAGAAAAAAAAAAAAAAAAAAACCAAATGGAGTCACAAATTACATAGCAATTGATACGACTAATCCTATAGAATCATGTCCTTTTCTTTACTGAAGTCTGCCTTACAAGATCCACAGGATAAACTTAGCTTGGGTGATGAAGTTGAAGCTTCAGATCCAAAATGACTCTGGTATAGTTTTGTAATATCCAGTCAGGGAGCTGATAAGTGGAACAGTTTTTTCCTACTCTTATCAGGCCGAATTTTATTGTCAAGACAGCATTTGAGAGGTGAAATGTCATCGTGTTTCTTAAGTTAGATTTGATAAATTCACTCCAAATGAAAAACATATAGATAAACATCTACCATCTAAACGTCAAAACACCATCTAAATGCAAGGGAAAACATCTAAATCTGGATGTAAAACATCCAAAGTGGCAACACTGCTCCCCATGTAAAGTACCTAAAGGCAGAAGTGGTAAACAGTAATGAACTGGGTATGACACTGAAGTACGTGGACTAAAAAGAGAATAATCTACTCTATGGATTTGATAAACGATTGCACGATTTATTGCCTGACATGGTTAGTTGCGCATCCTTTAGAGGACGTCGCAGATCCAACCCCAACAGCCCCTGGCTGCTGTGTGGTTTTTCTAGGCAAATTTACGTCAAGTAATTTGCCATTGCTCTCTGGACTGTCGGCTTTCTTGATACCACTGTCGAAACCAACGCAAGGCGCATGGCCCGCAGCTGTGATCGAACCCGGCATCCCGGCATTACAAAGCGTTTGCATCGACTTGGCCACAGAGCCGACATTGCCTGACATATTTCGCTTTATTTTATCAGGTGCATGCTACTACAACATTTTTTTTTTCAATGAAGCTAATGAATGAATCATTTTATCGTGAGATAATTTAAAATAAAATCTATAAATATTCATGATTCCACTCTGTGTCTTTGTTCAGAGCCAGCTGCCTTCAGCGAGGAGTATGTCGGAGATCGCTGCCGACCTATGCAGGAGTACTACCTCATTACCTGGATCTCTAGGTTCGGATCTTAGCAGAAGTCCCAGCTCACACAGTCTTCCCAGCTTGTCCAATTCTAGATATGACTGTAAGTGCACATTATCATCTATATGTGTTCAGATTCTCCATGTAATTAGCTCATTTAGAATGTAACCAGCGACGATGCCATACAGATGCCATACAGAAGCAGTAAAGCACGGGTTGAAATCAAGGAAGGTTTAAAACAAATTCCTGATATGAGCTTGAATGCAGTCATTTCTTTTCTTTTTTTCTTTTCTCCTGTGCTTAAAGAAGCCTTTTCTAATTTGCCATCTTATTTGTGTGTGTATGTTTTTTTTTTTATTTTTTTTATTGAAGTGAATATTCGCTTAATAATTCAATATTGTCCCTCTGGCATGTCTGTGATGATCTCCTTCGCATTCTCCTGCATCGCCCAAGATATTAGTTTTGTGGACGTTAAAATACATGTCGTTCTGAGGTAATGGCGCCGTTTCGTGAACTTTACTTTGTTAAAGGATGTGTATGCGTTGCCCGCTCCGGGCGCAACCGGATGGTTTTCCACCATAAGCTTACAAAATCTCAATCTGATGGCAGACCAGCTTGTCAAATTGCAGATAACCCCGTTCAATCCCCAAACATTATAATTAGGGAGCTCTTTATGATCAGACCAGGCCTGTGTCACCTGCTGTCTTGTGGAGATATTTCCACATCTGTGTGTTAGTGCGGCTATACCCGGTTCTTGGTTTGTAATGCTACGCGAAGAGAAGGGCAACGCTTTGACAATATGTGCCTTCAAAAATAGGGACAGAGACAGCAAGGATAACGAGAGAGAGAGAGAGAGAGAGAGAGAGAGAGAGAGAGAGAGAGAGAGAGAGAGAGAGAGCGCAACAGAAGTTGGGGAGGCAGAAGTAAGACGGATGCAGTGAACATATATAAATAGAGACAATAAGGGAGAGAAAACGAGAAAGAGAGATAGAGAGAGAGAGAGAGAGAGAGAGAAAATGGGGAGGGGGGGTATAGAATATAGTTCTCTAAATCTTCTGCAAGAAGGAGTTTTAACTCGTGTCTGATGCATTCTGTGTACGTTTTGTAAGCCCTAAAATGGATGGGTAAGGAAGAAAAAAAAAAGGGGGGGGGGGGAGAGAAAGAAGGACTTGCTGTGGACTCGAGGGACACATCTATCCGAGCTAAAATCAATTTTCGTCTCCCGATCTTCCCTGAAACCTACCACAACAAGTGTAGCGTGAGGACATTGCGTCTAGATTGTGGGAGCCTTCCTCCAGTATCTCATGGTTTATGTTCTGTTGCCCTTTCTATGAGATGTTTTTCTTTCTCTACCTTTTCTCTTCCTTAAATAATGCTGATAATGTGTCTGTTTTCTGTGATTTTTTGGGGTTCTCTTTTGTACAGTGGACATAACGTAACCAGTGTCCTTGCCATACCAATGCTTGGGTTATTTTGAATATTTCTTGTGACTAACGCCGAGACGACCATTGATTAAGAGAGGCCAGGAATGCTTGACTAGATTCCAACCATGATACTGAAATGATTGCCTAGGTTAAAAAAGCAATGGAGGTTTAGACTGCGAGCCCTGTATGACGTATCACGGCACAACAGGATGAAGATGATGATAGTTTCTTGTGGCTAGAAAACGTTATGTAGAACTTAGAAGTGGTGTATGTAGATAGAGATGGGAGAACTACCGATAGAGAGATGTTAAAATACGAAAACAAAAGACAAAAGGAGTTTCCATTATCATTGGGAAATTTGTGAAGGTCAACAGAAATTAAAACTAATACTGAACTTACAATCTTTAATTGTAATGTCAAACCACTACTGTTGTGTGGAGTGGAAACATAGAGAACAGCTAAGGCACTTGCTAATAAATTAGAAACATTCATTAACTGATCCGAGCGCAGAATAGAGAGAATAAAATAGTATATTAGAATTACTGACGTAGAGCTTTGGGAGAGAACTAAACTAGTTCCAGTGAACCAAGAGGTGAAGAAAAGACGCTGGCGGTGGATAGGATACGCTGAGAAAATCTGAGAACAGTACATCTTTGCACTGGAACCCACAGTGGCATAGAAATAGAGAAAGACCAAAACATGGGAAAGGGAGATAGAGAGTGACGTTAACAAGACTGGGGAGGACATGGGGAGAGCTGCGTGCAGTGGTAAAGGACGTAGAGCTTTGGGAGAGAACAAAACAAGTTCCAGTGGACCAAGAGGTAAAGAAATGACTGGCTTTGGATAGGACAACGCAGTTGCAAAGGATACAATAACTTGGCATGAGTTGGTTGAGGGCCCTTTTTAGATTTGTGAAAAAAAGTGAATGCATTTTATTGAAGCAGGAATCGCCGTGGCCGAGTGGCTAGACGCTCGCGCGGATCGAAAGGTCGTGGGTTCGCTCCCTGGCGGAGCCATACTTATTTTCAAAAATGACCCTGGCTTCCAGGTCGACCCAGCCTTGAGTGGGTACCGGGTGCAGTCCCGGGAAAGTAAAGGCGGCCGGCGTGATGCTGACCACATCACCCATCATGTGCCGACTGGTCTATAAAAATATAGGTCTAGCCCTATATGCCCTCTACGCCTAAAGGCGTGGAAAAGGGTCCTTTACTTTTACTTTTTTACTATTTTATTGAAGCAGGAGGTGGGAAAAGACTACTGCTTTACAGGACACACTTATGGATAACTGTTTAAAGAAAAACTCCTTCTGTGAGAACAAAGAATTGACCCAATGCCCTTTCAGAAGCATGTCGTAGGAGGTGACTAATGAGGGGCGTTTTCTTCAAAGTCAGAGTGCATCTGCCTGAAAGACAAGGACCAACAGCTTGCATACTACATGGGTGATAAAATGCCACCACACACTCGCACACCCACATACGCCCACCAACTCACTCACCCACTTACACACCTACATAATACATACATACACAGACAGACAGACACACACACACACACACACATACACACACACATACACACATACATACACACACACATACATACACACGTACATACAAAATCAGATCAGTAAGACGTGTGCTCGCAAAGCTTAAGTTCTAGATTCTCTCTCTCTCCCCCGCCCCCTCTCTCTCTTCTCTCTCCCGCTCTCTGTCTGTCTGTCACACATACACACTCACACAATCTCTCTTCCCTCTCTCTCTCTCTCTCTCTCTTTCTCTCACACCCCCACCCCCTTTTTTCCCCCCACACAGTTGGAAATGTCCTTAGCAAGAGAGGATCTGTATAACATGAATTGCAGTGATATACACTTTTTTCACATGTGGTTTATTTCCACCACTTTCGCTCTGTCTTTATTGCGTATAAATAAACAGGAGAGATAAATTTGCAACTGTGAACAAAGTGTCCCCCGTCGAGTGCTGGCCTAAGTGTGCTGTTTATATAAAGGGACGAGGACTGCAAATTTCAATTTTCTGGAGAGAGTAGGCGTTGGAGAGTTGCTTAGACATGCACAGTTAAAAACAACATTTCGCTACTAGTTTACTCAGAACTACGCCAGAGTAGACATTTTAATCATATGGCGCACACAGTGTTGTCCAGTGCACAATGTTCGTAGAGGTCAAATGTCAGCGTGTTAACTGTAATGCTAATGACTCAGTTTGTGACCTTTTGAAAGTACAGTTCTGTTCATTCGTTGGCTTGAATGAAGTTTGCAGACAACACTCCGTCGACGGACGAAAGGACAGACAGACAGATAGATCGAAAGAACGAGCTTTATTTTCAAAGTGTCACATATTGGACACTTATTCTTATTCGGCCCTTCCAAATACCCATCTTCCACACAGCAGTTATATGTGATAAATAAAGTATGTTATGTTCATATAATAATATGCATGTTATGAATATCAAGGATACACAAACTGGTGGTAAAATGCGCGCGCGCTCACACACCCACATACGTACATACATGTATACATACACACATACACAATTTACACACGTGCACACACAGAGACACTCGCACAGATAAAAACACAAACGCACGAAAGCGCACTAAGGGGCACACACAGAAACACACATAGACACACACACACAGACATACACAAGAGTTAAACTTTTTTCAAGGGGATTAAGTGGTTCCCCCCCCCCCCGCCCCCTTTTTTTCTGTTCATGCATAGATGTTCTCTTTTTAAATATTTCCTTATACGTTTCATATTATTTGACACCTATTCGCCATATAGCGCGCTGGTAATGAAACAATAATTGCACTTAAAACAAGGCTCCAGCTCATTAAGCCCAACCTCTTTGACAGGCGGTTCTCAACCTGTGGGTTGCTACCGTGTTTTTATTTGGGGGAAGGGGGGGGGGGGGGGGTCGAACGACCTTTTCACAGGGGTCCTCTAAGGCCATTAGAAAACATATACACTGAAATTATGAAGTAGCAACGAAAATAACTGTGTGGTTGGGCAGGAACTGTATTAAAGGGTCGCGACATTAGTAAGGCTAAATAACCACTGTATTGGACTATTGTGAGGGACCAGATTTTGTGGTGTACGGGGCGCCCGCTTGAAAAACAAAAGGGGGTGGGGATTTAGCTCTGTAAGATGTGTACTAATGCAGTACTCCCAAAGTAGATTCCATCAGTACTGTCCGATCCTTATAGTACTTCGGGGCCGATCCCTACGGCAGTTCTGGAACTGACCTCTAGAGTAAGTACTTCTGCCCACTAGCCGCGTGGGTTGAAATTGGCCCCGTCCGAACAACTGTGGAGTTTGACGCCGCCTGAGAGGCTTGTTTTTAGGATATATGGGACAGCAGTCGAGGTCAAGTTAGTATCGACTATACTGTGGATTCTGGCACACCCGATTGCAGCATTTTTCATCGTGAAGACAGCACTTTATTTATTTATTTATTTATTTATTTATTTATTTATTTATTTATTTATTTATTTATTTATTTATTTATTTAAATAGACTGAATGCTAGAGAATATCTGCCTGGCCACAACCGAAAAAAAAAAAAAATATGACCAAATGCGGCAAGCAGCGATTTGAGTTCATGACAGGGTAGTCCTCACGGGTGATGTCTGAAATATGCAAATTTCCCTTGACAGGCTCACAAAC